ACTGGGGGTCTGGAGGTGATGCGAGCACCGTTTGGCATGTGCATTGCAGCAGTACAAGCAATGAGCCGTGCTCTGCGCCGCCTCAGGCTGTGTTGCTGCGGCCCAGTGCTGCAGTTTCACTCCTCACCTTTACCTGGTATCAGCGTGTCTGTCTGTCTGTCCCCTGTTTGTTAACGCAGCGGCTGTTTCACCCTCCTCGCGTGGTCCTGCTGTGCTCATCTGTGATGCTCTCCTGCCAAGTGCTTCCAGCTCATGAAGTCCTTTGTGTTCACTGTTGTTTTTCTGGTTTTGGTAGCAGGGATAAGAACTGTAGGTGTGTCAGAAAGACTGTCTGCTATAGGCAGCAGGATGCGTTAAACCTTACAGGAATGAGTTCATGCTTTATCAGCACTACCCAAGAACCCTTGGACGGTACAAAGGCTGTACTTGTAAAATAAACACCAAAGCATTCTTATTTCTCTGCTCAGCAGGGAGTGATCCCAATAACTTTAACGCTTTCTTGATGACAGATTAATCAAGTAACATCCATTCTTTCCTTATACTCCTTGCTAGCTATGAGGTGAGAGGTGCTTCAGACCGAATTTCTGTTCTTTCCCAACACTGTGTTTCTTCTGATGTATCAGCTCCAGCTGTGGCCAGAGCACGTATTGGTGGGCTGCAGGTTTGATGGAGGTAATTCTTGTACCAAAGGCATGACGTGCAAGCTGTGAGGCCCAAATAAGCACCAGGTTCCTGGCTGAAAGCTGGACATTTATGAGGCTTCCCGCAGCCTTTTAATCAGTCACAATCTGAGCTGCTCTCAGTTTGGACTTTCATTTGCACAGTTCTGCACATAAGCATGAAGTGATTGCCTTCGTGGTGGTTCTGCAGCATTGAATGTATGCCTTTGTGTCCTGCTGTGAAAACGGCAGGTGCCAGGAATAGGGTGAGAATACGTGTGCCTCTCCAACCATACCCCTTATATTGGCCTGTTCAGTCTGAAGCTTACTGGTGATGCCCTGGAGCTGTACTCTTAAGGAATTAGTGGTCAGCTTTGTCTCTGTGACTGTCTGTGTGTAAAACTATTTGAGATTAAAAAGAAAGACAATCCTGAAATGAAATGCAACCATTAATCACTGAGAGAGTTGTTGCAGTGCTTTGTGTGAACCAGTTTGTACCTTCAGCACGGGCAGCAGCGGTGCTGGGGGTGGGAAACACCTGGCTTTGCCCATTCAGAACTGGTGTTTTCCTCTTGTACTGCTGTGAGCAGACTCACTTTTAGAATAGTCTTGAAAACACTGTTGTGAATGGTCCAAACATCCAGAGGCCTTGTCCTGAAAGCAGGGGTGGCTTCTCCTGGTGGTTGTCCATGGGGAGACTGCAGGGATTAAGCAGAAGCTGTTGTGTAACCCTGCTGCTTTGGCTGTTAGGACTGTTGTCCTTTTATCATTGCAACTGTTTGGGGTAAACAATGTCTTTGAATTGCTTCTTTGGCAAGAAGAGGATTGCAGTTGCTTTCGTGTTGTCTATAAATAGGAGATTGCTGAACTCTGCAGTGGGAGCTGAATTAAAGCACCATTGCTCATGGCTTGACCTACCTTGATTAGCACCTGGTAGGCCACAACTTTTACCTTAAAGCAGCATAGGAGCAGCAAAATGCTTAGAAACAGAGCAGTGGTTCAGAACAACCTCTTCCAGAACGTGCCTGGAAAGGCTTTGTGTTGTAACAGCAATCTTCATTAGTTTTGGACCTGCAGAAATGTCAGCCAAGGTGTTAAGGATGCTTAGCTTGAGCAAGGCTTGGAGAGTTGCTGGGGAGAAGCATGGGAGCCTGCTGTGTGTGCTCAGTGAGGGCTGCTGGGTGGAATTCAGCTCTTCCAGGGCTCCCACGGTGGGAACTATTTCCTGTAGTGCATCGCCTTAGGAAATGAGAATGTGGTTTTCATATGTCACAAGGCCCAGAATTGCATGGTGTGTATCTTTAGTGAGCTGTGGTGTGCTTTCCCATCTCTCACCTTGTTCTTGGTCCAGGTGCTGTCTGGAAGCCAATAGCTTGCTGTTCCTCGCTGCTGGTGGCAGGTGCACAGCACTGGCCATTCTTCAGAGGTTCTCCCTCAGGTTTGTTTGTAGCTTGCAGGTCTGAAGCCGCTCATTTTCTTGCTTTGGGGTTTCCACAAATGCCTTCGCTCATTGCAGATCACAGCTCCTCCTTTGGGTCACTACAAGTCTTCCATTGGGAGAAGCGTTTGGAAGCCTTTGGAAACAAGAAGCCAATTCCAAATTTGTCCTTCAGAAGTGCTGACCTGAGAATCTCCCATGTTTGTGGTGTCTGAAGTAATCCAATAAGTTTCTATGCCTTCTGTTCTGTGCGTGGCATTGCAAACACAGCTTTATTCAGGACTAATGAGAAGAAATGATTGGCCAAGGCACTGTTGAACCATAGCAGTGGTAAGGGTGTCAAGCTCTACCAGGCATCCTAATTCCCTCTGAGCTTCAGGTGTCCACATGCAGTGCTTGGAGCTGCTGAGAGAGGCACAGGGCAAAGCAGTGGTGTGATCTGTGATTGTGTTCTCTGAAATACAGTGGAAGCACTCCCTGCTTCCAGAAGATCATGGCACAGCTGCCAGGAGGGCTCTCTTTGCCCTGGGCAGAGCAGGGAATAGATTACATCTAGAAGGGTGTTAGTGGGATTCATTAGACCTTTCCAAGTCTTTCTGATTCCAATGCATGTGGCCATGGAAACAGCACGTGTCACCGTGTTTGGCACGGTGTTTTCCAAGCACTCATTATAAACCTAATAAAACAGATTTCGCAGCTGGTCAAGGAAGAGCTTCAAAACCAATTTCCATCCTTACTTTTGAAGCAGGATTCTTTCTGACCGTGTGCATTTCTGTGGCTGTTAACTCCTTAGGGTGCTTGACTCAGGGAGCTGCAGCACTGAGGTAAGGCCATTTTAAGGGCACCTGCCTGCAGAGAAGTGGGGTTTGCAGCTTTTGTAGTGTTTCTGCTTTCGTAGAATTTCCCTGCAGGTTGTCAAGGGCACTTGCATGGAACTGAGATAGAGCTCTGACCTCAAACCTCATCCCACCACGCTCTGTTGTTCAGGGTATGTGCAGGCAGTTATCAGTTCTGGGGCTGCCCCTGGAGTGGTTTATGGGTGCAGGAGGCAAAATGGGGAGAAATGAGGGCTTCTGGAGGAAGGCTCTATGTGGGCATTGCTGTTGGCCACGTGGAGAGGTGCCGTTTGGGCAGGATCCTCTGTGTGTCTCCTCCCTTTCTGATGCAGCATGAATATCTTCCATGAGGCTGAACGTAACCTAGCTGCAATGCCTGCTGCACAAAGCCTGCGTCCTGCTGACACTGTGGCCAGGTGGAAGGGCTGCTTACAAACAGCAGGCTCGAACCACCCTGCTTCCCTCAGCTTACAAAGGTCTGTGACTTTCACATACCGTTCCCTCTGCCCCTTTGGTGCAGTTCTTAGGCACTCATACCCACTTGTGCACACACGTGGGCAGCAGCTGAGAGCCTCCCTGAGCCTGGCAGGGGGGGACGACCATGGGATGGCTGCAGGGTGCCTCCAGCTCAGCTCTGCTTTCACAGACCTGCAGGAGGGCTGTGCAGGGCTGGCTGGCTGCAGCCCAGCACTAAGTGGCTTGTTGGTGCTGGCCTGGGTGTGCTTTCCTGCAAGCACACTCTGTCTGCTGCTCTCTGTCTGCCTAATTGTGCTTCCTCATCCTGCCTGGTGTTTGATGCATTGAGCTTCCTCTGACTTGTGCCGTGGAAGTCAGCAGGAGCTTTGCCACGGGCTCCTGCCTCTTTTAATGAAGGGCAAAATGCCTTGGTGCCTCCTGCCCACTCTTACCTCAATTGAACTCGCTGTTCACCCAAAGCAACGTAATGCAGTGTGTGTTCCCCACAGGCGGGCTGACAGTAAGCTGTGTGCTTGTTTTATCATCACGCACGTGTGCCACAAGTGCTGTATTTATAGACTGAATGATGGTGGATTCATTCAGGGACGCTTCTGCTTTTCTCCTGTTTGAAAAATGGATCCTCAGTTTGCAGCAGCGCTCGGCAGCCCTGGTGTTTGGCACTGCTGGGGGAAGCTGTGTTTGATCTGCAGTAGAGGTCTTTGATGTTGAGGAGGATGGCTTTGCACGCCGAGATCTAACAGGAGTGCTGCAGCAGCGTGCTTGTTGCTGCTGATGGGTTTTTTGGGATCTCCCTCCTCTCATTTCCTCCCTCTGCCTTCCTCAGGATTCCTTGCAGTGAGATATCAGTCCTTGCTTCTATTTCTTAGAATTTCTTAGAAGTTTTGGTGTTGACTTCCAGCAAAAAAAAACAAAACGAGATGATCTCATTTTGTGCTTCAAAGCAGCCTTTAAGGTCTGTGGCTTGCTTTGTTTTCAGGGCGCTCTGTGAGCAATCAAAGGCATTTGGGCAGCCCCATCTCCTCCGATCCGCTTTCATGTGTAGCCATATTTGTACACGCTGATGTCTGTTTTATGTCTCCATTTCATTCTTTTTTAAGTCCGTGACCTTTTCTTGGGATCCTAATAAGCAGCTTTCTCTGCTGGGCGGCTCAGTGGGAGTAAATAATTACTACTCACTGATGATTTGATCTAAATGGGCACACATTTGGAGCGGTAATGAGTTCGTCTCTCACATTTCACACCCCTTGCAGTGTAGATGTCAGCCTCTGTCACTCTGCTGTGCTGTGTGTTTGTTGCAGGCACCCCTTGGGAACTGCTGGATCCCCAAACTGCGATGCCATTACCTCCAGTTTTTCATTTTCTCTGCAGAAACAGCAGCGAGATTCTCGGATTGATGGCCCAGCTTGCAAGAGTGCACCTCACATCTCACATCAATCCTGCATAGCAAAGGCCTGGATGCCAGAGCTGACGCTGTTATCTGTGTCGTTGCAGAGTACGGCGTGTGTGAAAACCTGCGCAAGTTGGAGATCACAGGCGTGTCCTGCAGGGATGTCTATGCCAAACGTAAGTGATGAAGCTGCTACAGAGCTGGAGGTCTTTGCTCAGGACCAGCTTGGAAAGCGTGTGCGTGTTGAATATTTATTAGGCTTTGACAGTGGGAGTTATTCAGACTCGCTTTCTAATGTCTGTGAAGCTGACAGGTTTGGGGTTTTATTTAATGCTAAGCAGGTAGCGAGAGCTGGGACATCTGTCCTCCAATCCTCTGGTAGGAAAAGGCACAGAATTTAAGTTTCTTGTGGAGCATAATGAAGGTTTTTCATCGTTTTTACCTTGTTCAGATCTTGCTGAGGAATTAACCAATATTTTTCTCTATTTAAAGGCTGCCAGTACCCCAATGTGACTTAAGTTAAGGCTGGTCCCAGTGAAAGGATGCCATTCTATGCTGACAGTGGGAAAGAGCTGTTGGTGGAGTCCTTTGGGCTGCTCCTGGAGGAGGAGGACATGGCAGGGCTGGTCTCTGCTCAGGTGCCTCTGTGTTTTAGGGGTGGCTGTGGCAGTGGCACCTCAGATTCAGCGTGCACCTACCTTGCAGAAGGCACATCTGCTATCTCATGGTATGGGAGGCGTCTGAGAGATGAAAGCAGGACAGGCTGTGGCCCAGATGGAGGCAGGGATCCATTGAGGCTGTCTCCCTGTCCCCAAATCTTGCCCTTTGCAGTCAGAAGCTGCAGGTTTGCTTCTGTCAGCCTCCAAGAGATCCTGTATCAGCACTATCAGGCTGTGTTACCTTGGTTCCACTGCCACATATTTTATAAGGGTTTGTAGTCCTCAGTATAAAGAACAAGATTTAACCTGTGGTTTCTGGCTGTTCACATAAGACCCTGTGTTACATAGCAAAAGCAGTAACTGTCCCAAGTTGCAATCATCTGTAAAGTCCCTATGGGCTTTGCAGAGTCAAAAACCATCTCAACTTCTACACTTGCTTTGTTTGCTGAGCCTTGAAGCAGTGACTGCCTCAAGCACTGGTTTTCATGCTGGAGGGGAGCAGTTTCTGGGTTTTAATCTTCTCTATTAGGCTTGCTGAGCATCCTCAGGTAAAACTACTTCATCACCCACTGCCTCAGTTGGTGCACACGAGATGAAAGTGCTCAGCTTGTCTGGACAAGAGGGCTGGGTGATGCTGAGCCAGCTCTTGTAGACGTGGTCAGCACTGGAGGCCCCTTTGTCATTCTGCAGATTTCCAGAGTCTGATAAGACTCGTAGGACAGCTCTGTTGAGGGCCAACAGCTATTTTGCCAGTCTTCCCTTCCACTGCTGTAGTTTCTGCATCCACAGCATCACAGGATGTATGAGGATTACCTCTGCAGTAGTCTGTACTGCGTTCCTGGGGAAGGATTGTGCTGTGCCCTTATCCATTCAGCAATCCTAATCAGCATGGTTGCTAACCAGGGTGAGCCAAGCACTGGTCAGTGTACTTGGCAACCTTCTCTGGCTTCAGAAGGTCTGCTGTCCTAGCTCTCCTGCTCAGATTTAACCAACAGTTAGTGGGTTTGGAACAGTTTCCTGGTGGTGAATCCCCCCCTGCCATTTTCTCTGCTGTCCCATAAACCTCCTTAATCGCAGAAGAGTTCATTTGGAGCTACTGGGGGATGTCACCTAAGCTTTTCTGTGCACTAAATGTGCTTTTGCAGGAAACAAGGTGGGAAACTGGGAATTGGGATCCGGTGTTAGGGAGCAGCACTGGCCCAAGAGCTGGGCTGCCTTCTGTGCAGTTACTTGTCAGACAGCGATGCTCACTGCTGCCCCCCCCCCCCACAGAGCTTTGGGGGGGACCACTTTTACTTCCCAGGATGTCATTTGTGAACGTTACCTTGGGTAATGCTGAACATAGCAAACTCTGTGTCAGTAACCCTGCTAACTGGCTGTGCCTGAGGGAGCAAATTGGAAACCACTGATTGATGCAGCGCAGCCGGAAGCGAAAGGAGAAGGGAGCTGATCCAGGTTCATCAGAAGGTGACGGTGGAGCTGAGTTCTCTGGCACTTACCCTGCTGTGTCTGTTCAGGTATAAACCCACGGGTGAAGTCGGGGCGTTTTATGAAAATCCTTCCCGACTACGAGCACATGGAGTACAGAGATGTTTACACCTGCCGTACGTACCCTGCTGGTTGATGCTTCCTGCTCTGAGCACACACGAGATGCTGCATGGAGTGTGACGTTGCTTTGAGCAGATTGTTTTGGGGTGGATCTTGGGATAGAGAGCGTGGAGGGTTTCATGAGCAGTTCAGAGAATTGTTAGAACGGCCTGGGTTGAAAAGGAGCACAGTGCTGATCCAGTTCCAACCTCCTGCTGTGTGCAGGTCACCAACCAGCAGCCCAGGCTGCCCAGAGCCACATCCTGGCCGCTCATCCAGCTGCCCAGCCTGGCCTTGAATGCCTGCAGGGATGGGGCATCCACAGCCTCCTTGGGCAGCCTGTTCCAGTGCTTGTGGAGCAGTCTGACCCTTCATTCTGCTGCTCAGTCTTCTGCAGGTGTTGAGGGGAGTGCTGATCACATTTAAGCCAACGAGGGAAGCCTGTACTGCTTGGGCTCTGGAAGGAGTATTGAGCTATCTTTCATGCTCCTTAGGGGAAGGGGAATAAGGTCACTTTGCAAAGTCAGGTTACTAATTCACAAGTGCTTGGGAATGGAGTTCTTCCACGCGTGCTAATGGGAGGAGTGAATGCTGCACGCTCACCTGTGCTGAAGAAGAGAGCTGAGCATGGGCCATTCAGAGAAGATGTACAGCAGGCCATGCTGACATTGTCTTTAATGCAGGTCACAGGAGGGAAGCAGTGACAGCTCTGCTGCGGGAATCAGTACAAAGTTTTAGCTTTCATAGGTTGCTGCCTGGGTGCTTGCCCTGAGCAAGCTGGTTGTGGTGGCTCTGAAATGGCATTCTGTGCTGTTCCCTCAACTGCAGCCCCAAACATCTGAAGTCTCAAGCTGCTTTTCTGTAGAGGCATGGCGTGTCACTTGGAGAACAGCCAGCGTGGTTTACAATGTCATTGCCTGTTTCCCCTTCCCCCCCCCAAGCTGTTAAGCCTTCCTTAGCAGGGTCGACTGTGGCCTCAATACAGCATGAGCCAGCTCAGCTCAGATTGCTTTCTCCAGGTTCTCAGCACTCCTTGGTGATGCTTTGCTCACTCCACTCTGAGCAGTTACCACTGGCTGAGAGCTGCTTACATGCTTCCAGCTCAGTTTTGGTTACAGACATCTCGCTTTGATCCCTCGTTGGGTTTTTGCATTTATTTCTGCCTTGTCCTCAAAGCAGACGCAGGCGGTGTGATGGGATTTAGCTAAAGCAGAGGTGTATGAAAGCATCTGCCATGCTCCTGATTTAATAACCCGTTCTGGGGTTGTGAGTGCCTTCCCACACCGATGGTGGTTGTTGGTGTGCCAGCTCTGCTGTGTCTGCTTGGATCGCTGTGCGTTTGCTCTGTGTCACTCCTTGTCCTCTGGTGGAGAGCACAGGCATCAGACCTTGCCCAGGCAGCTCCTGTGATGGGAGCTGAGCCATTCACTGCTCACCCAGCCTTTCCCAAACTGCTTTTCCATCTGAAGGGCTTGCAGGGCTGTGTGTGGCAGTGTGGGTAATAGGCTGCCTGGGTGGGAGTGCTGCTCTAGCTTCCCAGGGGTGTATTTCTTGTTCTACTTGGAGCACATGGGCTCAGAAGTTTGGATAGGCAACAGACTTCTTCAGGACTGAGAAGAATTGGAGGTCTGGTGCGTAGCAGAGGAAAGCAAGCCTTGGAGAGCAGCCCAAGTGCTGCTGTGTTCTGAGGAGCGGGGAGGGAAGCAGCTGTTGCATCCATCCGTCTCCTGCCATGGGGAAGCCAGGGCTGGAACTCAGCAGTGGGTTTAGCTGCAATCCTGAGACTTTGTAGAAGGGAAAAACAATCTCCCTCAGGCCTGAAAAAGGGAGTTAGGGTTTTGCTTTGAGTCTTGCTGGGGCCAGCTGGCTCAGCTCAGCATAACCCTCCCTGCTGTTCTCATCCAGCATGGAAGTTCTCTGCTTTGCTGTAATAAAAACACCCCTACAGTCTTCCCTGTTCCAGGTACTTAAAGGAACAAAGCTGCACTGAAACTCAGTTCTTCCTGTATGAATTGACATGAAATAAAAACCATTATTCGTTCATGCTGGTTTTGTAAGTTGTGGCTTTTCGAGTTGGCCAGGAGCATCCCTGTGAGACAGAGGTCTTGGAAGTAACCTTAGAAATAACCTGTTGTTCCCACACAAGGTGCTAGACTGTGTGTGCCACCTGCACATGGAGCTTATTGGTTGCGTCTGAAAACTGTATGGGCAAAAAGCAGGGCTGTGAGGCTGGGAGAGGAGGCAAGGAGCATCTCCGAGCTTCCCTTAAGGTGGTTCTGTGCAGGCATCGTCCCCACTTCAAAGAATTTTGAAGTGATTGAAAGTGAACCCAGCTCAGAGATGAGGAACAGAAGCCTCCTGTGCTGCAGCAGGCTGTGAGAGGGGCTGGGCAGCAGCTTCTGGGCACTGCTGACGTATAGCAGCTTGCTTTGAGTTCTGCAGCTCCCGAGCTGGCATGGCGTGTGCGCTTTGCCCCGCTGTTTATTGGCTGTTTTGAAGAAGGATGCTTAACTCTGGAGGCAAGTTTGTCCCTGCAAGGAGGGGAAATACTCAGAATATTCACATTTCCCTATTCTCTACTGCCTCTATGTCTTTATTTTCTGTTGCTTTGCAGCGTGAGGCATCAGGTGCATTTTTGGTAGCTGGAGGCGGTGGATACTTGATTTGTATTTAGCTCTGGACATGTCGTGTGATTTGCAGAGGTCTCCCACTGAGGTATCTGCTCGTGTAAGGTCCTGGGAACAAACTCCTGTCCCTGCAGTTGCAGCAAGGCTTCAGAGGACAGGAAATCCTCGTGAACTCATGGGAGGCCTCAGTTCACAACTGCCTCGCTGTGGTTGGGTGCAACCAGCATTCACTTCCTTATCGTGCTGTTGTGGGTGGCATTGGTGTGCAGTTTGGTGATAAGTCTCTTTTTCCCTTTATTTCTTTTCCCCCCTCCCCAAATTCGAATCCCTTAGCTCATTAATGCTCACATCAGTGTCTCACTGTTCCCCAGTGCTGCACCGGTACCGACACATCCTGGGGTTGTGGCAGCCGGACATTGGGCCCTATGGGGGACTGCTGAACGTGGTGGTGAGTACCTCATCCTGGGGCTGTGGTGGAGGGCTGAACCTTCTGAATGCCCCTTCACCATCTGCGTGCTGTTGAGAGCTCCAAACAGCAGCACTCAAGCACGTGGTTGGTGCCCACGTTGCTCCTTGGATCTTTGCACCATCACCTCCTTTTCCAGACAGTCCTTTTGTTTTTCAGCTTCAGGAACACACAGGAAGATGTGAGGAATGTTTTAGGGCAAGGCTTCTTTTAGAGTCTAATGCTGCTATTCTGGTGGCTGGCGCAGAGCTTTGATACCACAGAGACTTCAGTGCTGGCCCATTACTTCATGTTTAACTTCTGCCTGCATCTGAACATTTTGCAAAAGGTTTTGGCCTTGTGTTTTTGCACCTCACCTTTCTGTACTTTGCCATCCTTTACTGATGCAAGGCTCGTGGAGCCTCCCAGCTCTGCTGGGGAGAGCAGTTAATGAACAACCTCGATACTGTATTACTGAGACTGGGCAAGAAAATTGCCAGAAGCCCTTACTCTTTGCACCAGGGTGCTGCAGGTGGTGGCAGACTGACCCATAACAAATAACCAGGGCCACTGCTGCTCTGTCCTTAGGATTTTGCAATGCTCTATTTTATAAACTGATAGAAGAGTACCTCCAAGTGCTTGCATGATGTCGTGACCTTACAAAAACAGGTGTTCCCTTGTGGCACTGCTCTGCTCTCCTCTCAAATCTCTGCTCAGAAAATATCCTTTCTCTAGAATTGTGGGGCTGGAAGGGAAGGATTCTGTTAGACCTGCAGGCGGAGAGCTGGCGCTTGTGCTTCTCTGCTGAGAGGATTGTTGCTTCCTGTGCTGCCCGTGAATAATAGAGCCAAATAATTCCTCATCCAAGAGGAGCAGATAATCATGAGAAGCAGAACTCTGAGAACCTGCCAGCAGGAGCTCTCAAACTAATTAGAGCTTGACTTGCTGTGTGGTCTCTCCCTCCGGATGCTGTGCACTGAGCATCCGTCACAAAGTCCTTTGCAACAATAAAAGCCTGATGATTTTTCCATTGGTGCAGAAAAACCTCATAAAGAAACCCTCTCCCTCTTCACCAGGGGTGTGCTGTGAGTGCATATGGTCTGCTTTAATTGCTGGAAAGCAGTTTGGAAATGCAGCAAGCTGTTCTGCAGCTCTTGCCCTGTTGTAGGATGGGCGCCAGAGCCGTTTGCTGCGAACTCCAAAGGACGTGAGCAAGGCTGATGCTGTGTGTGTTGTTTCCCATCCCTCTGCAGGTGGATGGCCTGTTCATCATTGGATGGATGTACCTGCCACCTCACGACCCTCACGTCGATGACCCGATGAGATTCAAGCCTCTCTTCAGGATCCATCTGATGGAGAGGAAATCTGCAACGGTTGAGTGCATGTATGGCCATAAGGGACCTCATAATGGCCACATCCAGGTGAGCTCCTCCAGCATTTGCAACACCACCAGTCCTAGGGGCAGGGTGTGCGTGCATGTCTGCACCTTGGCTGTAGAAGCAGATTGAACAAAAAGACAGGATATGGCCCTGGGATGTAACACCAATGTGTTCAGGTTGAAATAAAGGGCACACAGAGTGGCCTTGTTCAACTGCTGGGTGCATCCACGCAGGCCTGCTTGGTTTTCCAGTGCTAAATGAGACTGTAGGAAGGCGACTTAGCGTCATGCATTCAGCTGAAGGCTTTGTAAAGCTTCTGGAGAGGCTGCTTCCTTGTCCTTAAAATAAAAAACAACTCAGAGAAGCAACATGAGATCTTTCATTCGAATGCATCGGGTTTGTTAGGGCTGTTAGTTCTCTATCCTGTAGCTGATGCATTGAGATCTCTCCCATGCCTGATTCAGTAACATTTGTTGTGCAAAGCATTTACTCTAAGCAGTCATAGTTAAGTCATCCCAGGCAGCTCTCATCAGCTCTGCAACCTGTTCATTTCTCCTCTGTGCTAACTACAGATTGTGAAGAAGGACGAGTTCTCCACCAAATGCAACCAGACAGATCACCACCGCATGTCAGGGGGAAGGCAGGAGGTAAGAGTGCTGCACCACGTTTAAGCTGTGTGTGTCCCTTCTCTGAAGATAAAGCACTGCTCTCTCATCTAAGCCTGTCACTAATACTGAGATCCATGTATCTGAACGTACTTGAAAGCACGAGCTGGTAGCCTGAGGCTGATTTGCTCTCATCTTTTCTCGAGTGTGTGGAATTGATTCTCATTTGAACCAAAGCTTGAAGTGGGCACGCATAAAGACCTGCAGGATCTTGGGGAGCTCCTGCATGCACTGAGGTTTGATGTAAGGATTCAGCGGATGGGATCAGCTCAGCATTATGCTTACAGTGCTCCTGGGTGGACACCTGGCCCTCCCTCAGTGTGCAGCAGTGTGAGAGCAGGCTGCTCTGTCCATCCAGCTGAACAAGGCAGAGGTTTAGAGTTGGGGTTTCCCAGCAAGGTGCTGTTTTCCCCCTTACTGTTGGATCCTGAGCACCTGTGCTGTGGTGCTGCTCCTGTTTGTTAGCAGGGCTGTCTGAAGAAAGGCAGCAGTATGCACTGCTACGCTCTCCAGTCATTGATCTCTGCAGTACTGCTGTCTGTATAATGAAGATCTTTCCTAATGTTGAGCACCAGCTGCATTTGAATATGGGCTTGTCAGCAGGGCACCTTTCTACTGCTTGTCTTCTTTGTTGAGGGATTAAAGCTCCATTTATTTGTTTACCCCGTGACTGTGTAAGGCATACCCAGCAAGGCAGATCCCTACCTCAGCCTGCTCCAAGCTGTAGATGTAACTGTCAGGATGGAAGCCTTCAGCTCGTAGCTGCTCCAGGCATTGCAGCCAGGAGCCCAGCTCGCTCAGCATGACAGGCCTGATCCTCTTCTTGCTTCTGACGTGTGCTTTAAGATGTCTGCCTGCTAATGGGAAACAGCTGGGTGAGAGGTTCCATTAAGTGTTTTCTGCTTCTGCAGCAGATGAGAAATGCTTTAATACTTTCAAAGCACCGTGTTAAGGATGCGTGGCATTATGGTAATTGGGGGATCTGGCTTTAGAAGATAAAACAGGTTGGGAATGTTGCTGGCTAGGCTGCTATCTCAGTGTAAGCTGTTAGCACGCTAACTCATGTGAGGGTATTAACTTGTCAGAGCTGGTGTGGAGGGACTTCAAGAGATTTTTAGATGCATCACTGTTATACGAGCAGGATTTAACCCCCTAAATCTGCGGTGCTTTTCAGAAGCTTCCCTTTTTGTGTTTAGGGTAGGGCACAGGAGCGCGCTGTTATGGGTGCACAGATGGGTTCCTGAAGGATAAATCAGGACATAGCAGCAGATCAGCTGATTTGCAGTAACAGGTCACGCTTGTGCTTTTGTTCTGAGGAGTCACATTGGTTCACATAGGATTTATGTGAAGGGAAGCCTGTCTTTATGGTGCAGAGCCTTGCTAGTAGTGCAGTCACCATGACGACTGTTAAACCATTCTCCAAGCCTGCTCTGCAGCAGTGTTTGCTGTTTCCCAGCTCCCCCCCATACACAGCTGTCAGTGTGTGCCCCTCTCTGTGCTCGGGTGGGGAACTGTACCCATGTGGCACAGTTGCAAATGAAACATCTCTGTCCTCCTATAGGAATTCCGGACGTGGCTGCGGGAAGAGTGGGGTCGCACACTGGAGGACATCTTCCATGAGCACATGCAAGAGCTCATCTTGATGAAGTTCATCTACACCAGCCAATATGAGTAAGGGCACCAGCTCTTTTTAGGTATTAAGGCTGCTGCAACTACCAGACCACATTAGATCATTTCTTCTGAAAATGGGATGCTTGCCATGACCTCTCACAGCCAGAGGAACGTCGTTTTGTTGAGGCTCTGCAGGCTCTGCCCAAAGATACGGGGCAGCATGGGAGGTTTATTATTACTGCTTCCATTGCTAAAATAGCTAGGCATGGTATTTGAGCCATCTGACTGTTCATTTTGAAGACGGTGAATATCTGATCCTGAGGGGCTCTGCTTGGTAGCTTTGTTACTAAACAATATGCTTGGTGGTGCACTAGGCAGAAGTGACACAGTCCTTTCCTTGACTATCACTCCAAAATTCTAATAGCAGACACTGAGATGCACTTTGCTCCTTAGGTCCTCCAGCACTGCCAGGGAGGGTTTCTGAGGCCTTCTGTGGCCTTGCAACAGGAGCATCCTGGTGTGCCAGCAGGGACTGGTAGAGGGAAGAGGAGGGAGGTGTGTTTGCACATGCCTGAGACGAAATCCGGAGCTCGTTGTAACGCTGAGAGCACACATCCTGCCTGTGACGTGATGGCAACCCAGAGCTGTCTCAAGGAGCTGACTGCAAACACGTTCTTCATGTCTGGGAGCCCTCTCTTAGCCTCTCTGTCCTTTCCTTTTGCACAGCAACTGCTTGACATACCGACGCATCTACCTCCCTCCGAGCAGCCCTGAGGACCTCATCAAGCCGGGTCTCTTTAAGGGGACGTATGGGAGCCATGGGCTGGAGATTGTCATGTTGAGCTTTCATGGGAGGAAAGCCAAGGGGACTAAAATCACTGTGAGTGTGCTTTCCTTTCCCTCGTCTGTTTGTTAAATTAATCTTTCATTGATGCCGTGGATCCACAGGAGAAAGGAGAAGGTAACCAGGTGCTGCAACCCCAAAGCTTTATTCCTTGTGGGTGTTGGTGCCATTAGTGGGTCTGAACATGTGCCAGCATAGCTAGAACTTGCTCTGCAAAGCTTTCCATGGTGCTACCTGGCTCTCCCTCCCTTTTCTGTCTCTATGAGCTACTTTCTGTGAGCAGCTGGTAGCAGATGATGGGAGATCAGTCGTGCATCAGGGGAGCAGGTACCAAATAGCAGCAGCTCTTGGCTGATGCCAAGCTGGTGAGCTCCTTCCTCTCTGCAGGGAGTGATGCTGACACAATGTTGATGTGCTGATGCTTTCTTTCATCCTTGCAAGCACAGCCTAGCTCGTAGCATTTGGTCTAACACTCTTGTTTGTGGGAGGCACAGAGAATTCGATGAACAAAGCCTGATGTTTTCTGTTACCAACTTGATGGGTGTAGAATAGGGTGAACTCTGTAGAAGCAGCCGCAGCGCCCTGCCCTGCAGCCGCTTTGTTTCTCCCCATCTCCAGGGAGATCCCAACATCCCAGCTGGGCAGCAGACTGTGGAGATAGACCTGGCTCACCCCCTGCAGCTGCCTGACATCGAGAACCTTCGTGATTTCAGTGAGCTCTCCCGCATTGTCCTGGAGGTGCAGGAGCAGGTGCGGCGGGAGGAGCAGGAGGAGGAGCAGCAGCGCAGAGAGGACGAGGATCGCTTCCAGCAAGCTGCCACCTCACCTGCTGCACAGCCCCAAGGAGGAGAAGGTGCTGAAGGGGAAGAGACTGCTTCTGGGGCCAAACGGGCAGCCCAGGACAAGGCTCCAGCATCCCAGCCCTTCGTGCTGCCCATGGGGGTGATATCGAGGAACGAGGACTATCCCCGGACCTGCCGCGTTTGGTAATGGGGACGAGTTGCTTTGTGGCCTGCTTGTGCCCTTTGCTTCTTGAAACTGAAGTGATCTTTGAAGCACGTGCTCTATTTGCTTGCCCTTTACCTGCCCTTTACACGGATCTCCCAGCCCCTTGTGCTCAGGCTTTCTTTCTCTGCTGCCCTATTCTTATTCTCTTTTGATCCTTTTCCTTCTTAACCACGCTGCCTTCTGCAATCCTGCTTCCTTTGTAGATTTTTTTTGTATCCTGTTACTCCTAGAGTTAGCACCTTTCTGTATTTTACCTTTTTATCCCCTCCAGGAGCTGCTCAGCTCCTATATTTGGACATCTGAGCTGCTTCCTGTTCCTGTGTGTCATTTGTGTTCCTTGGCTGTGGGAACACAGTGCTCCCTCCCACCTCTCCCTGGCATCTGCTGCCTTGGCATCAAATCTGCAAGGTGCTGAGCACCGTAAGCAGGAGGTGCAGGTATACAGAGAGCCTCGTGGAGTGGGGCCTGGGCTCAGTGAAGCAGCATGCTAAATGAGGTGTGGAAACAGAGCCCAGAAGCTGAGGCTTAGGCAGGTGACCTTCAGCCAAACATCTGTGCTCATGGAAAAGCTTACCAATAGCTGGTTAATCCCAGAAGGCCCCTGCTGTCACACGCAAGCTGTGTTTGAATCAAACCCTGCTCCACCTGCTGCTTGCTTGGAGGTTAAACTGACCTTTACTCCTCCCCAGCTCCTATTAAGATTTTCCTTTCTTGCCTTTCCCCTGGGTTTGTCACAAGGTTTCCCTCTCTGGTCGCCCTCTCCCCATGTGTTTTCTTTCCTCTGAGGGTTGTCTGCACCTGGGTCGATCTCCGAGTTGCAGAAGTAAATAAATCTCAGTTGAATCACTGGGTTGAGCTGCAGAAGAACTCAGTCTCGCTTTGCAGGTGTTAATTAGAAGCCAGAAGCTTCCAGGAGGGGTCAGATAAATATACATAGCAACGAATAGTTTTCTGTTTTTGAAACGATATCAGCAGTGTTTTGTGATGTGAGCTGTTGATTCCTCCCTGCTCTGCAGCACTAGGCTGCGTTGTTTGGCACTGGATTGATTGCATTTTTTGTTATCACTGTTAAATATTGGGCAATTTTGGCCGTTCCCAATCCTTCCTTTGCTCTTCTCTCCCTGCAGTTTTTATGGGACGGGGCTCATCGCTGGCCATGGCTTCACCAGCCCCGAGCGAACGCCCGGTGTTTTTGTTCTCTTTGACGACGATCGCTTTGGATTCATCTGGCTGGAGCTCAAGTCCTTCAGTCTGTACAGTCGGATCAAAGTCTCCTTCCAGAACGCCGAAGCTCCTTCCCGGGAGGCTTTTGATGAAATGCTGAAGAACATTCAGTCGTTGGCCACTTGATGGGTGATTTGGGATGGACAGGGCTAGGGGCTGCAAAGGCTGTTGCGCTCCCCAACCAGAGATATGCTGGGGATTCCTTGCTCTTCGTACCTCTGAAGGAAAGCATGCACTTTTAATAAAGCCTTTTTATCCCCCCCCATGTACACACCCCTGGTAAAATATCCACGAGTGCCCTCTCCTCCCTGCTGCCCCTCACTGCTCCCCTAGCAGTCCTTGGTACCTGGTCTGTAGCATAGCTTTGAACAGCTGAAGGGATCCTGCAGAGGAGGACGCGGAGCTTTCTTATTGCAAAAAAGAAAAAGAATGTACTGGAACAAAAATAACTGAAGCTCAGAGTTGGATCACAGAACATCTAATTAACTGGATGGACACGAACCCTCTGCAGTGGCCATTAGGAGTTTCCCCATGGAGCAAGTCTCTCCTTCAGGGAGGGCAGTCATTTAAGCCTTTGCTGTGCTCCGGGCCTATCTGTCCTCTTGGGAGAACTGCTTTACCCTCCTGCAAACTGCTCAATCTCCTGCTGCAGACTGGCTGGCTGCTTAATGCTAATTGCATCGGCGCCGAGCAAGCACGTCCTCCTCTCCAGAAACCTTTCTCTGGGTGCTGCATCATCAGGAGGGGCTGGTGTGTCGTGTACCTGCATCTCTGGCTGAGTATAATTAGATCGGGTCGTTTCCCTGTGAGAAATCCCCTGCTGGGCAGCATGGGAAGGGCTCCCCTGTGAATGGCTTCTGAAGGTCGATGGCTGTGCTGTCCCTGGAGCTCAGGGCTGCTTCTCTCAGCGCAGGGGTTCTTGTTTCTCACAGGAGCTGGGTTGCAGAACTGCAAGTGGGCGTGAGTAGCAGAAGCTGGTGCATTCAGAACTGCTTTTGTGTCTGAAATCTGATGGGGGGGAGGGGGGGAAAACAAGGGTGAAATAAGCCCCAGTGCAGCCTTTTGAGTCCTGTCTGTGCTAGTGTCACAGCTGCCATTGGTACCGCTGTGACCTCAGTTATCAGGTTGTCCTGCGCAGGCTGAAGGAGCAGTGAGGAGTTCTGGTGTCTCTGTGGTTCACTTTATGGTTGGTGCTGACAGGTTGGTGCTGCTGCTCTGCTCACGAGACCCTTCTGTTCCCTTTCTAGCCACACGTGTTTCATCCCAGATGATTGCTGCTAGCACAGAAATCTCCTGGGCTCAATTTCTTTCCATGATGCCTCTGTGGGCTGCTGTTAGGAGAGCCAGGTTCCCCATAGGCCCTAATTCTGCTCAGCAATGCACCGTAGGAAAATCCTGCCCAGCTCATCTACAAATTGTGAGTTGTGCTACAAACCATCCCAGCGCATTTCGTTATTAATCCTCTCTCTGTAGGAGGAGATAATTGGGATCTTTGTGTGAAGAAGAGAGCAGTTGGTGAGGAAGGCTTTGGTTGTAAGTAAAACACGTCCTTTGTTGCAGTTCCTCCCCAGGGTTGAGGTCGGTTTGTCTAACAAAACTCGGCGGGTTTTGGTCTGTAAATGTGTGTGTGCATGTGTTGTGCAGGAAGGATTTGAGCCCTCTCTTAGGGAGCACTTGGAGCAGCTTTTCATCCTCCCTGTCAGATGGGCTTTTTGCCATTTCTGGCTCTGGAGTGTTCCCTCAGGCTGTGTGAGAGCTGAGTCTCCAGCAGAGATTTAGAGCAGGAGGTCACATCCATCACAGGATTAACTCCTGTCTCTTTGGGTAGAGTTTCACAACCCTCTGGGAACATGAAGGTGATTTGGGGCACTTTTTTTCTTTGTTTCCCTGCTGCCTCATCAGTAGTGGAAAAGCTGTTAGAGGAGCTGTGTTAGAGGAGAGGATCTGAAATGCTGTTACCGTCCTGGTGAATAAGCTGGAACAGGAGTTTCTGAGCAGCCTGGTGGAGGTGTGGGCAGAAGGAAGGGCTGGCTGTGGTCTCACCCCTGTGCTGTGCAGGGCTGGGAGAGAGGCAGGGAGGCAGTGCTGAGATGGAGGGCTGAGAGAAATCCCCCTTGGGCAGCTGGTTTAAAATCACTTGTCCCTAAAACCACCTCTGCTTCAGTCAGCACTGCATCCGCGGTTCTGATTTCTGCGTTCCTCCTTCCCACAGCATCCCTGCTCACCTGGCAAAGAAAAGACATGAGACAACCCTGCAGTTCTGCATAGCTGCCTTAACAGCTTTTGCTTTTCTAAGATGGAAAATGAGCCTTGTTGTGCTGCGAGCTTGGCCTGGGACCTGGAGCACTGTCTCGTGAGTACAGACACTGACTTCAGCAGGTCTGCTCCTGTAACCTGCTGCGTTGGCTCTGCTGAGTGTGTAAAGGCAGCATAAATACGATTCACTGCTGTGTCATAGAGTGCTTTTAGAAGGTGTAACCTGCAGCTCGACTTCTTCTTGCTGCCAGAGCCTGCCTTGGGCAGCAGGTGGCAGGAGAGCTTTGCTCGGTCCAGGTTTTGCTGCTTGCACAAGGGCGCTCAGGATGGCTGTTGCTCGTCGCCTTTGAAGGTGAGAGCTGCGTGCTGGGAGGTGCTGCAGGAGCCTTCCACGTGTCAGCTCTGCCTCTGTGGGTTTGTGGTGTACCTGCCTGGCCTCAAAGTGTCAGTGTGCCAGTCCTGATGAAAGGCAAAGCTGCTGTGGCTTTGTTCTGTCTAGAGCAGAGGCAGTGAAAACAGCGAGTTCTGTATCCATGCTCCTCCTTTCCCTTCTCTGTTCATCTTCTGATCCTCGAGGCCTGGCAGGCTGTTGGGATGTGGCAACGTTTGGCAGGATGGTCACAAACTGCTGCTGCTGTGCCCTGGTTCTATTCACTCTGTGCAAGAAGAACTTAGGGAGGGCTGCCTTTGCATCTTGGCTCCAGATGCTGAGAAGCATGGAAAACAAGCTGCCCGGATAGGAATCCTCCTGGTGGAAACGTTCTGCAGCAAACACAGTGCTTGCAATTAGATTGCAGAGCAGCATTGCCCCAGTAGCCACGGCGTCTAATTAACTCTAATTTAGGAACTTGAAGCAAATGACTTACGTGCTCAGACCGCGTTGTGCTCCTGGGTTGTGCTGCGTGTTGTCAAAACACGGCTTTGGCCAGCTGGAAAACACAAGCATCAGAGATCCTCCTCCAGCCTGTTTGTTTGTGTTGGGCCCGATACCACAGCTATAAATGCACTGTGACAGCACTGTGGTCGTGCTATTTCAGTCCATGCTGCCTCGTCAGGTGTTTGTTTTGTGGCAGGAGGAGCAAAAAGGATGGAAGCGATTGTAACTTGGGCTGCCAGCTCTCCTCCATGGTGACACTGAGCCTGCAGTGGGATGGATGGCAAATAAACAGGGAAGTTGTATTGGGGAGAGGGCACATGCACGTGCAAGCTTGCTTGGAGGTGTAAACAGCAGGAAAAGGCTGCAGCTGGCTCAGTGTTTGCTTTCGAAAGATGGCTTTTTATTGCTTTATATTAATTAAAAAAACTAGTGAAACTTAATGGGAGTGTTGGGTGTCGTGTGGAAATGGGGTGTGTTATCTCAGCTAGCTAGTTTAGGGAATGATGATACATTAACTCTGTCTCGTAGCTGGGTGCTCGTGTGGCTGAGAAGCTGTTGTGCTCAGCTGCCAAAGGACTGCAGGTCAGGCAGGCAGCATTGCTTGCAGTTGGGCAGTGACACTTTGGAGATGTGGCAGATATATGGCAGATAGTTTGCCAGCACGTGAGTGCTGCTGACTTTGTGCTGAATTAACACGTATGATCACAGCTTTTCGTTTGGATTGCAGTCTTCTGGATGTTCACAGAAAAAGCACTCGGATCAGCTGAGCTCGTTAGCTTAATTAAAGCCATCTGCCCTTTCTTTCGTTGCCCAGTGTTCCTACTTCCCCCGAGCAGGAGTGCCCTGTGTGTTCTGCACTCACCACTTCATTCAGCAGGCTCTCAGCATCAAAACGTCTCTCCGAAGTCGTTTGTAGTGAAGGTGAAGCAGCAGAACCCAGCTCTGTGCAGAGGAGCAAGGTGAGCTTTTCTTCCACATCCAGCACCTTGTGAACGTGAGAACTGAGCTTTGAATCACTCAGCTGCTCTGCCTGCATCCCCAGCTGCGGGTTGGGATATTCTGCTGTCCTTTGCTTGGTGGGTTGGAGGGCAACGAGGCGTGCAGAATCCAGGTGTGACTTTGTGACGCTTTGCCTCCTTCATCCCGGCGATGCGAAAGCTGAGCAGAAGCCACGCGGTTCTTTTACACCTGATTGTTGTCACCCAAGGAGCCTTTTCCAATTTCAAATAATAATAATAAAAAAAGGAGGTTTTGTGAACTTATTTCTGTCTGCTGCTTCCGTTTTGTTCCAGAGAAGAGCCTCAGATGGGGCCCCCCTTTCTGCTGCGCAGCGCCCTGCTGTGTTTGCTGAGCAGCGTGCACCTCGTGCTGCAGGATCCAGCTCCTTGCAGCCTGTTTTCTGTTCTTCCCCCCCTCCACCTGCCACACACAGCTCCTGCTTTACCCAGATTTGGGTAAGTAGTCAGTCCAGTTTGGGCTTTGGGTCTGTAGGGCCGTGCAGCTGAACAGAGGAGCCCCGGCTCGCTGTCAGTGACCCAAGTGCTGCTGGCAGCTGCTTTTTGGAGTGGATGTTGTGCTTCCAGCTCCACGACTCCGTTCTGCCAGGAAACTTTCTTGGCAGATGTTCCTTAACGCGAGTCTTGGAAGCGGAGCGCTGAACTGTCAGCTCTCAGAGTTCACACATGAGCTTTTAATCTGGAGCTGGCTCTGCCTCCTTAGCGCCACCGGTTCGGTCCAGGCTGGGCTGTGTTGTTACGGGTCCCCGAGTGCAATCAGCTGTGAGTGTGACCTCTTCTGATGCCATCTGTCAATGTTCCAAAGGCTCAGCTGACCCCTCCTTTATGTGTTCTGCATACGGTCCCGCAGTCCTTCAATCCCTCAGCAGAGAAAAGCAGTAAAACGCTCTCAAGTAAGCACCCAGTAACTCCTAGCGTATGTTTGGCCTTTGAGGATCACAAACGTGATTTCTGAAGTGGGAGATTTCTGAACAGCAACCACGTGCAGCTCCCAAATGCTGACTTCAATCCTTCCAAAGCAACTCACACAGGGGATTGCTTGGGGCCGGGCAGCTCAGCACCTCGTGGGGAAGAACAGAGCAGCTTCCACCCAGCTGGGGCAGGCAGGGCCAGCCCTGCTCCAGTTCTCCAGCCCCTGGGGGAGCCAGCAATGGGCTGACAGTCACTGGAGTGGGCGCTGTCACAGCTGGTCTTTGTCCTTCTCCTCTTGGGGCTGTTTGCCTCTGTGACAATGCTCCTTCCTCTTCGGCTTGATTAAAAAAGCCATTAAGGCTTTATTACCTTAATGAAGACTCAGATTGTTGGTTCCAGAAAGGCGGCTCTCCCTTTTTTCTTTTTTAATGCTGCAACCACAGGCCTGAAAATCAGTTTCTCTGACTGCACCCCACTGCAGGCGGCAGCTGGAGCCAGGACAGCATGGATGTGACACAAAGGACGCGCTGGGTCTCACCGTTCCTCTTCCATGCAGTGCTTCTGACCTGTTTTCTTCTGGCTGCTGGGAGATGTGCGCTGCCATGGGGGCTGGGGAAAAAGGAAGGACCGTGCCCGTGTTGCTCCTCATCCCAGTGGCTGCTGTGTCCAGGTTCCCCATGTTTGGAGCCACCTAAATGGGGAATTACTCATCTTTCCTCTCCTCTGCATCGCTCCCTGCCGCTGGGAGGACGATGAGTAATTCACTGCGTGTTTGTTCACCCAGCTTCCCAGCAGGGCTTGGCTTTTTTTTCTTCCCCCCCCTCCTCCTCATCCTTAATGCAAAAGGTTAATTAGTAGCAAGCTCTACACGGCTAATTAAAGACATGTGCGATCTCTCTTCGGCTCTTTGCAGTTGTCAGCCTTTTGCTCTCACACAGCCGTCCCCGCTGACACATTCGTGCGTTAATTAACTTTCTGCGCGTGACCCGGAATGGAGCCGGGAGCGCGGCTGGAGGCCGCAGCGCAACCCCGACCCGGGGGGTGGGGGGGAGCGGTGGAGCGGGGCTGAACTGCGGCGCGTCCGCAAGGGGGCGCCATAAGACTGCGAACGGCCGCCCGCCCCAAGGGCCGCAGCCTCCGGGATTCGAGCAGCCGGCGATCGGCATCGCAGCACACAAACACCCCGGGTCCGGGCATCCCATAACCGTGTGCTTTTGGGATCTTGCCACCCCCGGGACCTGAATGTTCCAATCCTGAGGCTTTGCACGCCATGGGAAACGGGAGTCTGGCCACCCCCACGTATGTCTACGGCACTGAGGGCATCTGGGGCATCCCCAGGATGAGCTGAACCCCCTGGGCCACCCCTGGTATCCGTTCACTTTTGCACCCTGAGATGTGAGGGTGGGGGCACCTGGGAAGCCCAGCATGCAGGTTTGCAAACTACCACACCTAGAGGATGCTGCTTGGGGCGATGGAGAGCAGCTCTGTGCTAAAGATGACACTTCTGGGAGGAGAAACAAAACACTGACAGCGGAGGTCAAGGAGGTGCTGGGTGTGCTGCCGTCAGCTGCTCTGAATTATTCAATAAGCATCTCGTTTGCCAGCCTGATGCAGTTCCTTCTCTGCAGCCCCAGTGTGGAGGGGAGATGCCTGATGCTCTGTGCCATCATCCCTTCCCCACCAGCAATCTCAGTCTGTCACTCCGGTACCTGGGGATAACACCTCCCCACTGCAAACATTTCTTGTCGCCTCGGAGCCAGGCAGGCTGCAAGCTGCTCTAAATTTATATCTGGAGTCACTCTCCTCCTTCTCTCCCTTCGTGTCTCACCTCCCTTTGCAGTGCTGTGCTCTGGAGTTGGCTTCTCCCTGTTTTCTCACCTCCTCATCCCTCACCTCGAGGGAGAGGAATCATTCCCCGCAGCTGCCTCTGCTTGCTGCCCTGACCCCACGTCTCTCCATCCCATCCTATTACCCAAACCCTGCCCCTTTTGCAGTAACCCCATTACCTGCCCATGTTCACCCACCCACCCCTGCTCTTATCCCATGGGGGCGAGGTGTGACAGCCCACACAGCTCTGCTGTCACCACAACAGTGCTGCTGCTGCTGCTGCCCTGCTCTCATTGCTGCTAATTAAAAACAAACAAGGAGGAGCTGGATGGCAAACATGCTCCGATCCTGGGGCAGCTGGAGGCAATCAGGAAGCCCCATCCTCTCTATGTCAGCAGGTGATGGGGATAAATTGGTGGCTGTAGGCATTCTGTGTGGAGCTGAGTGGTGCTGTGTAGTGTAGTTCCCCTCTCCCTCTTTGTTCTTCTCCAATTGCACAGCCTGCAGGGTGCAGCCCATGCCTTGGGGGAGGATGTTCTGCAGACCAGGTAAGCTGCAGCGCTGGATTGCTCCATCATGGCTCTGCCAGCAGAATCCATAGGCTTAAAGGAGAAGAGGAACGGTGCTTCCCAAAATAAGAGTGGGCAATGCGTTGCTGCTGTGCTCCCACACCACCACTGCTTGGGCTGGGAGAGGTGGCAGCACAGCCTGAGGGATCAGCTGTGTCAGCTGGCACTGAGCTGAGCTCACTCATCCTGCTGTTTTCAACACAATGTGCTATTTTCAAACAGACCCCAGAAGCCTGATGGTGCCCTGGGATGCCAGCATCATCAGTTCTGGCTGCTCCCCAGCACTGTCGCAGCCCCAGGTTGGTGCCCACGGACAACACCTGAGGGCAGGTGTTTCTCTTTACAAGGGTGGATGATGACAGGACAAGGGGGAATGGTTTTAAACTGAGGCAGGGGAGGTTTAGGTTGGATATGAGGAGGAAGTTTTTCACTCAGAGGTGGTGAGGCACTGGCACAGGTTGCCCAAGGAGGCTGTGGATGCCCCATCCCTGCAGGCATTCAAGGCCAGGCTGGATGTGGCTCTGGGCAGCCTGGGCTGCTGGTTGGCAACCTGCACACAGCAGGGGCTTGGAGCTGGATGAGCATTGTGCTCCTTTGCAACCCAGGCCATGCTGTGGTTCTATGATTTTGTGCCCTCTGTACCTTTCTGCATTGCTCTGGGCTGCTGGTGGTGGAGATGGAGCAAGGTGCAGCTCTGCCAGCAAATATGGGATCTGTTGGTGGTGAGGAAGCTGCACACACGTTCCCACTGCCACGAGGGCCTTTGCTTCCACCCAGAGCACAGCGTGAGTTGGACAGAGGGAGGAACAGCACTGCAGGGCTGTGGCAGGGTCGAAAATAGAAACCTTCACATGAGCACAAGGGAACAGTGCTCCCCCCGAGGCCGGAGCCTTGAGGCACTGATAAGCAGTTGTTTGCCTGAGCTCTGCAGCAGGCGGATTTTATCTCTTCCTTGTTCCAGCCCTGCGCTTGGCTGCGATCCGACCTCAGGGTTTTGTTCTGTTTCTCTGCTCCTGCGGCAGCTGCAAAGCTCACAAACGTTCAGGGCTGTTCCAGTGCAGCTGGAAGGGTCCCAGAGGGCAAAACCCCACCTCAGGTTGGGATTCCCTGCCCCAAACCCTGCTGCCACCCCACCGCAGGCTCACGTTGCAGGATGCAGATGTCGGGCTGCTTCCAGCTGTTTTACAACAGGGTGACAGCAGCTGTGAGCTCTGCTCAGTTGCAGCACCAGCACGGCACTGTGATATTATTTTTGCCTTTGCAAATCCCTCCTTCGGTGTCGACAGAAGCAGAACGTTCCATTCTCCTGGCTCTGTGGATGGGAAAGCGCTGCTGAGCTGCTGGGTGATGAAGGTTATTAAATGTCAGGGAGAAATAAAGCTGCTCTTTTGTTTAATATTGTTTTTCCTCCCCTGAGCTGGAAGGGGGTGTGCGCTGCGTGCTGTGGTGAAAGGAGAGGATGGAGCAATGCGTGGCAGAGGGAGGGATGGAGGGCAGAGCCACGGGGGGCAGTGGGGCTGGGTTGTAGGTGAGGAAATGGGCGCTGGAGGATGCCACCTCCCTGATGGCACAGGGGTGGCACGTGGCATTTGGTGGCACGAGGTGTTAATAGCACTGTGATGGCACAGGGGTGGCACCCCGGGTCTGCATCCCCACCTGGGTGGGGAAATGGGTTCTGGAGTTACTTGGTGGCACAGGAGTGGCACGTGGTGTTGGCACCCCTTTGGTGACACAAGGATGGCATTTTGCACTTGGGGGCATGATGTGGAACTCAGGATCTGCGTCTCCTTGGTGGCTCAAGGGTGGCTCTGTCCTGGAGCTCCCAGCAGCACCCTGCAGCAGGGCTGGCACCTGTGGAGATGGAAAAGAGCTGCTGGCGGCTGCGTCACCATCAGCCCTGTTTGCCTTCTTTCATTTCTTTCTTCAATCCCTCACTGCAGCATTACACGCTGGCAGAAGCAGCCCTGGGGAGGGAGGCTGTGCACGCCTTGGGACACAGGAGATGCTGCTCTGTGCCTGCAGGAAGGAGCAGCTCAGGGATGTGCTTACAGGTAAAGAGCAAATCCTTGCGTGGGGCGCTGGGGGCAGCGCTGGCAGGGCTTTTTTCTTCTTATTGGGTGTGGAGCTGGTGAGTTTGGAAGCTTTGAATTCAAAGATATAAGGGATGCAGCTCCCTGCTGACGGAGCTATTTCCTGTTTTGCTTTATTTTATGTTGAGTTTCCAACACCGGAGCTCCATCTGCACCTCGTGCCGATGTTGGGCCTCTCCCTGTTCCTCAGGGCTGAGAAATGTGCGTGCATTTCATAGACACAGAGCACAGGGCATCTCACAGCTGTGGGCATTCATTGCAGAGCAGAGCTGGGCTTTGTGGGACACGTAGCTGTGACTTGCTGCTGGCCTCTCCTCCACCAGCACCTCCCCAACGACACGCAGTGCCCATGGCACGTCCCAGCACTGGGTTTGCACAGCAGAGGTGTATCTTGCTGCTGGGATCCTCCCTGCTGCCGTCACATAGCAGGGTGCTGAACGCAGACCTTTGTGCTCTGTGTTTGCTCTTTGTCCATCCCAGCAGGACGGACCCAACTGACGGCACTTTGCACAACTGCAATGCAACCGTGCAAATGCAGCACGTGCACGGGCCTCCTGCTTTCCTGCACTGTGCTTGCAAGCAGCCAGGCATGATGCAGAATGCAAGCACAGGGCAGTTCAGCCATCTGCAGCCCTGCACGAAGGCAATATAAGCAGCTGCTCTGCTCCTCTATGCATAAATTGCAATGCTGCACCGCCGTGCTGCACCCGGCTGCAGGTCGAGCTTCCCAGAAACAAGGAACCAAGAGGATTTTCCCAACTGTTGTGCCAATATAAGGGCGTCGGGCATGGCAGGGTGCAGCTTAGTGCCACTGAATAGATTGGATTAGGAGGGATTTGCAGAGGGGCCCGTCTGGAAGAACGGCTTATGGAGGTGGTTGGAGTGTCACAACGATGCGCGGTGTCGCAACGCGGGGTTGCGGTTGTGCTGGGGAGGAGGGCTCTGCTGGGAGGTGCTCAGGGCCCGGGGACAGAAGGGACAGGGGCAGCTCTGTGCTGTGCTCTGGGCTGGGAGAAAGCCAGGGAAGATGCTGCTGGGTGCAACCTACAAACCTGACGCCTTCCTCACCTTGCAAATCTGAGCTGAACCCCTCAGGCTGTGCGTTTTCAGAGGGTGAGCGCCATGCAGCTGCATTGAGCTGGGGGGTATTGGAAATGCAGCATAATGTGCAGGACAGCACTGCACCACACTGTATGCTTTTTGCAGGATTTGGTTCCTAGCTGGGTGCAAACACAGAGGCTCCATACAGATTGCATGCATGCAGGGCCAGCTTTGGGGCATCCTTGGCAGCGCAGGTGCTGTTGGGGTTGGCACATGGTCATGTTCCTCCTATGCTCGCTCTGTCCCAGTCTCTGCAGCAGGATTTTGCATCACATCCTCCTGCCCCTGAGACCTTGCCTGACTTCCGGAGCTGTCACCACCTTCCCCTGCACAATGCACAGCCCTGCTGCCCTGCATGGTGTTTTGCTTGCAGGCATGGAGCAAAAATTGCCTGATAGCCTCTTCCATGAAAGAGGCACTCCTGAGCTGGGAGGAAAATAGGGCACTTCTGGTGGGTGACAGCCACAGCCACCCCCAGGTCCCTCATCCCCAGAACATGGGGGTGGAGCAGCTGACTGCCCCCAAACCTGAGGGCAGAGCAGTGCTGCAGGCACATGGGATCCCTGCAAGCACCCCGAGGTGTGTGGGTGCCCATGGGATCCCTGCAAGCACCCCGGGGTCTGTGGGTGCCTGTGGGATCCCTGCAAGCACCCCGAGGTGTGTGGGTACCCATGGGATCCCTGCAAGCACCCCAAGGTGTGTGGGTGCCCATGGGATCCCTGCAAGCACCCCGAGGTGTCTGGGTACCCATGGGATCCCTGCAAGCACCCCAGGGTCTGTGGGTGCCTGTGGGATCCCTGCAAGCACCCTGAGGTGTGTGGGTACCCATGGGATCCCTGCAAGCACCCCAAGGTGTGTGGGTGCCCATGGGATCCCTGCAAGCACCCCGAGGTGTCTGGGTACCCATGGGATCCCTGCAAGCACCCCAGGGTCTGTGGGTGCCTGTGGGATCCCTGCAAGCACCCCGAGGTGTGTGGGTACCCATGGGATCCCTGCAAGCACCCCATGGAAACCAGTGCAGCAGGAGCAGGCGAGTGGAAGGCAGTAAAGCCCTCCTGATGCTGTTATATAAAGAATTCAGGATCTGGGCTGTGTTTTTACATGTCACTTGCAATTCCTGACGTCTGAGTTAATTACAATAATCATCCTCAGCAGACCATCAATTAGTGATGCTCTCGGCTTCCCACTGAGCCTGGATTTTGTCACAGCCACAGCATTTCCCCCATAGGTGGGGGACAGCTGTAGTCCCCCCAAGCACGGGGCCAGGCAGGCATGGAGCTGCATCCCACTGATGGCCAACATCCCTGCTCCCCTCTGGGGCAAGAGGGATCAATGCCCAACCCCCCAGGAGGGGGTTCTGCTCCCCATAGCATGCAGTGGGTTTGCAGTGCCCATGGGATGCTCTGCCACAGGAGTGGGGGCTTTGCTTTGGGCTTGGGTGGGGTGATGCAGAAGCTGGGGGGAGGGAGAGGGAAGGGGTGGTTAAATGGGACCCTGGGTGTTGTGCAGGCACACAGGGCTTCAAAAACTGCCCATATCCCCCCCGGGTATGTGATGTCCCATTGGGGTGATCCCTCTGTGGGGTCTCAAGTTGCTGATGGAGCCCCGTGCCCCTGTCCCCATCCCCATATCTCACTGTGCTCCCCCCCCTTCTTCCTTCTATCTGTTTTTTTTTTTCTCTTTCCCGTTCTCATTGCTGTTTTATTCCCGGAGCAACCGCAGGTAACGCAATCAGGGCTCCCAAAATAAACCAAAAGGCGGCGGGGGGAAAAAAAAAAAGCTGGGAAAACCCTTTTGGATGAGGAGGGGTTTTGCATCGTACCTCAGCCGGGCTGTGCGAGGAGGGGAGGGGGGAAGGGGGGATTGGGAGGGGGGCAGGGAGGGGGTGCGGGCTGCCATCGTGAGAGGGGGGGAGCCGCCAAGCGTGGCGAAATCGCACAAAGGGTTTTTTTCCTTCCTCTTCCTCCCAGCGCCGCAGCTGCTGTGCGCCGTGTGCGTGCCTGCGTGGGCAGCTGGGAAGGGGGGGGGGGGGGGGACGTGAGCTCCGGAGGGAGGGATCGCGTTGCTGTCGTCCCCGTGCTGTCATCCATCCATCCATCCATCCATCCATTCATCCCCATTGCCGCGAGCCCCGAGCGAAGCGACGTGGCGGCCGCTGGGTGCAGGTAAAGAGCTGGGGGTGTAAAGGTGAGGGGGGGGGGAAACGTGGTGGGACCCCCAAGCGAGGGCAGGCTTTTGGTAGGGGCTTCATCCATCCTCTTCTATGGCTGCGTGCTCCGTCGTTGCCCTCCTTCAGCTCTGTGGGGTGGACTCATCCATTGGCACGACGCATGGGGCTCCTTCTAAAGGCTGCCGTGCGGGGCTGGGGGATAAAGGTGGGGGGGGGGACGGCCAAGTTGAGAGCTGGGCTGCAGGCTGTTTGCAGCCTCTCCAGCCCTCGTGCTCTGTGGTGGATCCAACTGGCATGCACTGAGTGCGGGAGGTCTCAGCCCCGCACTGACCATGGCAGCGTTTCACATCGCAGCACCTGGGGGGGAGGAATAATGAGCCAAACGGCCACAGCTTGCTTTTATTACGCTGTGAGGGTTGGGAGATCCCAGCACAGGGGCCAGGAATGGGGCATGCGGAGTCAGCAAGGACACGGCTGGGTTAAACCCGGATAGAACGGAGCGTGTCTCCGCTGCCGGCGCAGGGACAAGGACGTTGGGAGCAGCTCTCGTCGTTCCCAGCTCTGTGTAAGGCAGGAGGTTGGCGTGTGCTGAAAGACGCTCCAGGAGGAGAGGTAGGGGTGGGACGCCCAGCTTGGTGGGGTTGCCGTGTTGGATGGAGGTGAGCGTCCTGCTGTTTGCTCGGAGCTGCGGGGGGCGGGGGGAGTGAATGGGGACAGGACCGACCTGTTCCCACGGAGCAAACAGGCCGTTCCCTGCAGTGCACGCAGCAAACCTTTGGCAGGAGCACAGCTTTGTGCCCGCTGTGCTTTTGTGCACCTTTGAGACGCCCCGTGCAGAGCAATGCAAGCTGAGAGCCGGGAGCTGAGAGCAGAAAGAGCAGAACGGACGGCTGCAGCGTGGAGCAATGCCAGGGCTGAGCAATGCACGGCCAAAAGGTTTCATTCTGCCTTTCCCAGAGCAGCAGGGAGATGGGCTGGGTCTCCTTGGGGGCTGCTGAGCCTCTGGGTGCTCAGAGGGCAGAAAGCACAGCAATGCAGCCTTGCAGCCCTGAGCACGTGGGGATTGCTGTGGTCCTGTGGCACAGCATGCAGTGATGGGGGGGCATGGCCAGGGGTGGGCAACAGCTCAGAACAGCTCACAGGGGGTTGGGGCTGCCTGGGGTGGGGAGCACAGCCAGAACAGCACAGGTGAGAGGTCCTGAGCTTTGCACCTTGTTACAGCTGAGATTAAGCTGAGGGCAGCACTGAGGTGGTTAAAGCCAGGGTTACGATGCTGGGGGGGCTCTCTTTCTTCCATTCCTTTTCCTGTTCCCATTTCCAGAAGCTGTAACCCCCGCTGGGCATTGCAGTGCTTCCTCTCCTCTCAGGAAAGCTCCTCCTTTTCCTTCCCCTCCAGAAAGCTCTCAGAGCTGAGCAGGCCATACGACCTCCCCCCTACCCAGATATCCTATTTGCCTGCTGGAAGAGGAGCAGTTCTTAGAGCTGACTCTCTGTGCGTGGCTCCAGCCAAGTCCTGGTTTGCAGTGTCACCCCCAGCACTGATGTGTTGTTCAGCTGCCCATAGGGAATATAGAAGCTCTGAGCGATGCATGCTCAAGGGGATGCCCATGGCTGGCATGAGCAATCTGTGCAGCATCTGAAGCAGCTTTTGTGGCCTCTGCTCTATGACAGTGATTAACCATGTGCTGGTGAGCAGGAGGTTAAACCCTTTTTGGCCACCTAAGGGCAGAACGCATCTCCTCACGTTGCCTGCAGCCTTGGCCTGGGTTCTGCTGATTCCCACTGCAAGTTTTGAGGTCTTGCACCCCGAAGTTGTTCTCCTGGAGTATCACTGTGTGTGCATGGGTGATGACTTGACGGATGCTGGCACCCAGCCGGATCGCTGTGTTGTAGGGCAGGGCATATGGGACAGGGCTTTGGGTCACCCCTTTGCCTGGTGGTGCAGAGGAAGAGCAAGGCATGGCTGCAGGAGGAGCCCATGCTGCACAGCACTGCTGGCTGCATGTCCATAGTGTGCATCCTGGCTTGCATCCAGTTCTGGCATAGCCTGGCATGCTTGGGGACAACTGGGTTGGGATGGATGGGAGCCAGCTGGGAGCGTTCACTGGCCCCTCTGCACTGCAGCCTCTGGATGCTGAGCTGCCTGGTGATCCTGGTGGCTGCAGCAGTGTCCTTGGGGCTCTTCTCAGGACTTGGGTTCAAGTGCACGCACGGGGATTCGGTGCTGTTGCCAGGGAAGGGGATGCTTCACCAGAGATGAGACTTGGGGATGCAGCCCGGTGTCACCCATCAGGCTGGGGGATGGCAGATCCCAAGTGTGGCGCACGGAGCTCATCTGGGCTAAGTGATGAGAAACCCTCTTGAAGGACACAGAAAGCATGCCAGCTCTGCGTGGCTGTGATGTATCCGATGGGGAGCAGCCTCGTGTGCCTACCCTGTGCAACTGCTGATGGGCGCCATGTGGGTGCTGATGTCACCCTGTCCTTCCCCTGCCTTTCAGATGCCCCATGACAGCCTGGCCCCCAGCGCACGGCCCCACCTGCCATAGCCATCCCCTCCTCCCTGGTTCCTGATGGTGCAGTGAGGGCCGGGCAGACGAGCACCCACCAGAGCACCGCACCTCCTGCAGAGCCATGGAGGCCCCCCCAGATGTGCCTGTTGGGAACCTCATCGACTTCAGCACAGAAGCAGCCACCCGTGCCCCCTCAGAGCCCTCTCCTCCGGCCGTCCCCAGTGACAACGGGCACCTGGAGGAGGTGACAGCAGAGGAGAGCGATGCCACCGAGTCGGCAGACAGCGAGAACGACATGGGTGAATCCCCCACTCACTGGGGCCACCGCCGCTCCTCCTCAGGTGAATCCTTCTCCTCCAACCACAGCACTGGGTCGGCCAGGGATGAGGCAGCGTCCGAGCGCCGGGACTTCGTGCGGCACTACGTGGAGAAGATCTTCACCGGGGGGTGAGCAGCCTCAGAGTGATGGATGGCATCGGGGCTCACCCTGGGGCTCAGTGCCTATCTTGGCAGCTCAGCTCCCGCTCCAGCTGCTGCCTCTTCTCCCTTTTCCCCCCCCCTTTCTGAGCAGCGGGAGATGGAGGATCCAAAAGGCATCCGAAAAGATGCGCCCGCAGCATCCCCACACCTCCTCCCTGCATCCACCCCACACCGCTCCACCCAGGATCCATAGGGGAAGCCTCAGCTCTAACGGTGTTTTATTTCCCAATTCCTCCATTGCAGAGAGGATCTGGAGCAGGAGGAGAAGGCGAGGTTTGGGGAGCTGTGCAGCGGTGAGGATGGGAAGGGCAGAGAGTGGTTCGCCAGATACGTGAGCGCACAGGTGAGTGCCTGTGCTGGGCATGGAGGGTTTGGGATGGCAGATTGGGCAGCGCTCCAGAGCAGTGCTGTAGAACAGCAGGATGAAAGCACAGAGGGCATCTTGGTGCAGTCATGCACCCGATGGCTGTGATGCTATAACACAACCCCTGGGTTTGTGCCTGCAGCGCTGCAACTCCAAGTGCGTGTCAGAGCAGACCTTCTACCGCCTGATGCAGTCCTTTGCCCTGGTGCTGTTTGAGTAAGTGCTGGAGGGTTTGGTTTGTTGCAGCCACGAGCACAAAGCTGCTCTGTTGGGGTCCTCACTGAGCCCTCCCCCCATCAGGTGTCACCAGATGGATGATTTCAGCCCTGCCAAGAACCTCATGACCATGTGTTTCACGTACTACTACATCGGTAAGGGGCACCTGCACCCTGTGCTGGGGGTGAGGTGCTCTGCATGCAGCTGGTGTGCGTGGAGAGGGTGATGGGAAGGCTCTGAGCTTGGTGTTGTCCGTGCTGACTGTATGGGGAGGCTGATGGGTGGGTTCCTGAGCTGGGTTTAACTTGGCTGATTCTGACACCAACCAGAAAAGAGCCTCACTGGGCCCAGAGCCACGCAAACCTTGCTGGGTTGGGTTGTCCTTGCTTCTTGCTGGGGGTATGTGATGATCTCCAGATGTTCCCCAGCCCTGGGGACATCAATGACACTTCATTCCCTGTTGTGTGGAGGTCACAGCCCCACGGCAAGCTGGATTTCCTGTCCGAAACCTACAAGGATTGGGATGAGGAGGGTTTCTCTCTGGTTTCTTGTCTTTGTAACACTGCTCAGAGCTGATCCCTGGAGCCAAGGGGGAATGAGCTCTTGGGGTGTCACCCACAGGGAAGACCCACGCGCTGCCCCTGGAGGCCAAGGAGAAGCCCACAGGCAGCATTGACTCCTACCTGAAGTCGGCCAACAGCTGGTTGGCAGAGAAGAAGGACATTGCAGAGCGGCTGCTGAAAAACACATCAGCCAAGACAGAGAATGTCAAAGGCTTCTTTGGGGGCCTGGAAACCAAGCTGAAGGGTCCTGTGGCCAAAAAGAGCGAGTGGGTACCTCCGTGTTGGATGGGCAGGGTGGGCTGATGGTGCCAGGAGCCAACTGGGCTTGGGGATATGGGAGAGAGGTAGGGTGATAATGGCCATGGGAAGACAGCTCCTGGCCGGTCCCCGTGCTTTGTGCTTTGGGCATCTCATGACATGGGAGTCCTATGTTCCTTGGGGTGGTGATGCCTGGTTCCAGGAGATGCTGCCACTGCTCTGTGGTCTTCCGGATCCAGCCCGTGGGATGGGCACCAACATCTCCTGTCTGCCTTTCTGGCTCTGGGGAGGGTGGCACAGAAGCAATGTTTCACATGAGATTTCCCTTGCCAAGGGGTCTGGGTGGTGTTGTTCTGGCTGTCACTGCGCTTCTTGGGAGCTAACACCGATTTCTGTGCCACAGCGAAGGTGAGGACAAACCAAAGGAGAAGCTGAAGAAGACGGGTGAGTGGAGCCAGCATTGCTGATTCAGGCATGGCAAATGCATCTGCGGGGAGGGAGCGTGGAAGAAGTGCTGGGGCTGTGGGGATGAGGGGAGCACGGGGAGGGCTGGTGCCGTGTCTTCCTGAGCTCCCTGTGCCCAAATGTCACCGTGTGTCCCCACAGTTTCCGTGCAGAGCCCAGAGGAGGAGAAGAAAGGAGAGAAGATCTACTTGTACATGCACCTCAAGCAGCAGCCCATTTGGTAACGCCGGGCAAGGTGGCTTCTGCTGGGGTTTGCCCACTTGCCTACACACTGTGTGAGGTGGGGGGTGGGCAGCATAGGATCCCCCTGGTGGGGAGGAGCACGAAGCCCTCATTTACCCCAATTGGACCCATTGAGTCACCTCCCAACCTGTGGGATGCAGGTGTGGGGGGCACAAAGAGGGAGGATCACCTCTGACCCTCCATCCCTGCCCCATAGGCACAACCTCCGCTTCTGGAACGCCGCCTTCTTCGATGCCGTGCACTGCGAGCGCAGGAAGCGCTCCCCCACCACCAGGTAGGATCCTCCTCCCTTTCAGTTCGGGGAGCAGAAAGGTTTCCCTGCTCATTTCACATCGTCATCGTGGGCAGCCAGGCCACTGGAACTGCGTTTGCTTTGACTAAGCCCCCAAATTAGCAGCAGCAAATGTCTCGCAAGGACGTGCGCCGCCGGCAGCTGCTCTCTGCTCCGGGTGCCGTTCTCAATTACTCTGATGGCTGAGTCCGACTAACGAACGCTCCCAGCATCTCAGGGGGAGGGACGGTGGGAGGGGGGAGGAGGTGGTGTCACTAAATTCCTCTTTTTCTCTCTCTTTTCCCTCTCTCTGCCTCTTACAACCTCCTCCCGTCCGTCCTTCTCCCCCTCTCCCTCCATCCACCTCTCTTGCATGATCTGTCCCGTGCCACTTTTGTCGGTCTGCTGCCGCTCCAGAGGGAACGTTGGGGAGGAAGAGGAGAAGAGGTGTGTGTCTGTCTGCATCCCTCCCTCACATCACCTGCCAGGGGTCCCTTCAGCCCCAAACGCTGCCTGGGGGGCCTCACGTGTGCATTTCAAAACCGGGGAGCAGCAGATGCATGAGATCTGTGCATCACGCAGAGCTGCAAATGAATGGGTTTCTCTGCCATTAATGCTGTTTTGCTGAAAGAACCCCCGCCTGCAGCATGGTGCAGTGGGAATGGGATATCTGGCTGCTGGGGGATGGAGCTGCGTCCTGGGCAGGTTTTGGGGCATGAAGTGGGGCTGTCTGTGCAGAAAGCATCACTCTCTCCCATCCTTCCTGCTTGCTGTCGTTGCTGGAAAGGGCATTTGCGGTTGGAAGATCTGCTCCTTGATTTTTTTGCCACCCCTGTACACAAAGCAAGCTGCAAACTGGGGCTGTGTTATAATTGTGAGTGAATCCTCCCAGCTGGAGGGAGCCCCAGGTGGCTCAGTGGTGCTGGGATCTGGGCATGCTCTGAACTGCAGGAGCATGGCACGTCTGACTGGTGAGCAAACCCCTCGAGGTGAGGGCTCTTCGAGTCTTGGCCATAAATCGTTCTCATGGGTAAGGATAACTTTGTTTTGCTCGGATGGAGCATCAGCCTGCAGCAGGAGGAAAGGAAGGAGGGAACCCTGCATCTGCCCCTGCTGAGCCCAAGGGTCTGGGCAGAGCTCAGTGATCCCATGCTGAACGCCCAGCCAGAAGCACAGCAGATTTGTCTTGAGTGCTTTGAAGAGTGGGCTCCTTCCCATGGAGCTCTCATCCTTTTTGTGTTTCAGCTCTCAGCATCTGAGTTAAGCTCCCTGATCTCTGCCCAGCACTGCGTCCTGCTCGCCGTGCACCCCCACTCTTCTCCTCTTCCTTCTCCTCCATATGGATATATCTCTTCTTCCTCTCCCTTTCTCCTCGCCTTTCCTCTCACCCTTGGCTGTGACCTCTCAGAAGGGGACTGGCTTCATCCTGGAGCTGCACTTTCCCTGGTGTGCATGCACTGAGCTCCACCCCAGCACCGTGCACCACTGCACAGTGACACTGCAGTCCTGCCCAGCGTGACTTTATTCCCAAAGTCCCATGAGTGGGACGTATGTCACCACCTAGAGCTAGTTGCAGAGCTCTCAAGCTTGAAGCCCCATCCTGTGAAGGCTGTGCATTGATCACATTGCTGGGGAATGGGGTAAGGGGAGCTGGGGCATCCTTGAGTGCAGTGCTGGGGATGTGGTTTGGGGCTGGGGAGGCGGATGAGAGCCCTCATGCATGGCTGGGGGCTCCAGGATCTGCAGGCTCCTGTGCAGCAGGCAGGGAAGTGCCTGAAGGTGAGGATGGGCACAGCCCTATTGGGATGGGCATCCCCAAGAGCTGTAGGCTTCGTCCCCCTCGCCATAAGGAGGGCTCCGAAGGTCAGGTGTGAAATCAAAGCTGTTTTTTGGTGGTAGAAGACTTTTTCCCAGGATATCTCTTGCTGGGGGGGGGATTGGTGATGCCAGGTGGGTTTCGTGCCTTGCAGGGAGAAGTGGTGCCACATGACACAGGAGGAGCGGGACGACAGCCTGCGCTTCAATGAGAACATCACCTTCGGGCAGCTGGGGTGAGCAGGGCGTGCTGGAACCCCATGTGCCACGCTTGGGATGTCCCCTCTGCTGGGGAAATGGGCAAAGCATCCCCAGTGCTTCTCCCTGGGACTTGCTTCTGGCCTTTCGCTGGCAAATCCCAGCCTGCAGCATCCCAGTGTGGGGCCCGCATTTGAGCATCGCCTGCCACAGAGGGCAGCGGCGAGGAAGAGGAGGGTGGGGAGGAGGAAGGGCCGTGTGGCCCTGCCCTCATCAAGAGCCCCTCTGTCCTTCCTCAGCACCTTCATCCACAACATGTTGGCGTTCGGCCTCACCAAGAAGCTCTGCAGCGACTTCCTCAAGAAGCAGGCGACCATCGGCAATCTGGATGAAGGTGGGGCTGGGCAGGGGGATGTGATGGGCAGCACCCCCACTGGGATGTGATGATGCCCCCACTGGGATGCTGTGGCACCGACCCAAGCATCGCTTTCCCTCTCCCCTTATAGAGCAATACAAGCTGCTCAGCGACCACATTGAGCAGATGGCCAGCGAGTAGCGGCACGGCGAGACGGCAACCAGAGTAGGTGGGGAGGGCAACCTGCCCCCAGAACAAAGCTGGGCTGCTCGAAACCACCCAAACACACACGTGTGGAGCTGCCATACACCCGCATGACCATCCGCCAGACTTCAGAGCTGCGCCGTGGGCAGCCTGTAGAAATAGGAGCCAACAGCCCCAATCCCTCGCCGGAGCCTCCTGTGTGTATTTCCAGAGCAGACAGACCCCAGCAATGTGTTTTGTCACTTAAACAAACAAACAAAAAAGGCAAGAAAAAAGCAAGCTGAGAAATAGGAGTGGTTGCTGCTCCCACTCTGCCTGCATCAGTGCAGCCCCAGCTATGCAGCCGAGCAGGTTCTGATGCGGGTCCCGATGCGCTCCTTGGCACGGCGGCTGCAGGACTTTGGGACACGGCTGTCCCCAAAGTGGAGGTTTCCATGGGAACGTGTTCCTTGTGCAGCTTTCCCCGTGTATCCCATAAGGGAAATAGCAGAGCAGGTCCCCGAGGCAGGGCCCCCCTCCCAGCCCTGCTGCCAGACGGCTGTTTGCTTGAGGGAGGCCGCTGCCGGTTTGCACTTTGTGTGTGATTGATGGAGAGGAGCTCTCTCCTCATTCCTGCTGCATTTATCTCCTATCCCCCACCCTACCCCTTCCCTAAACCTAAAGAATATATTATCTGCATGTGTATTTTTCTAAAAAATAAATAACCAAAACACTCTCCCTTTGATTCCCCCCTCTTCCCCGTGTCCGTTGCGCTCTGGTTCATCCATCTCGGGATCTGAGATGTTTCAGGGCTGGATGCTTTGGTCCCCATGTCCATGTGGTCTCTTTGTGGCCATGCTGTGTCCCTGCCCTGCAACACTCCCTGGAGGGCACGCAGTCCATTCATGGGGGGGTTCTTTCAGTCCCAATTCCTGCAGAAATGGGGTACAGGAATGAATGAATTCCGTCCCTGGGTCACCACCTGTGCTGAGGTGTCTTATCTGGGCTTCTCCTTGGGAAAACATGGGTGTAGGTTGATTAGCTTTTCGTAGAGGGAATGGCATGACTTGTGACAGCTGCTCCTGCTCTGTGAGAAACCCCCTGATGTTGAGAAGTGTGGGGCTGGGGCAGTGCAGGTGCCCCATGGCACCTCCAGGCTGCTGTGTGCTTAATGGGGTGGAGACCTACATGGGATGGAGACCTATAGGGCCGTTAATCAGCGTGGCAAAGGGCAGCTGCTGGGGTTGGTTGCTGGGTAGGAGGGGCAATGCCTTAAACTGGAGTGTGAGCAGCTGTGGTGGAAGTGTGTGCAGGTAAGGGTAAGGTTGGGGTGCTCTGAGCATGGTGAACAGCCCTATCCCCACCTCCCTTCCTCCAGGGATAAGAGAGCTTTTGCTTCCCAGGCCCTGAGGATTTTACTGTATGTCAGAGCTGCTCAAAGCTCTCCCTGTTGTCACAGCATCTGGGAGCAAGATCTGTTTTTAACGAAGGGAGTTAGTGATGGAGGTGTGGTTACCACTGACCCTAAGCCCTTCTTTGCTCCTCTGTCGCCACCTTTTGAGATGTTCATCACCCAACATCAGCCACAATTTGTTGGTGAGAGGGAGGGGAGCCCGTGCAGTCAGTGGGTGGCTGTGACTGCTGGAGGACCAACTTTTGGTGGTGTGGGGCAGGAGATGCTGTGAGCTGGGCGTAGGGCCACACACCAAAACGCAAGGGCTGCACGTCCTCTGGAGGGATGCTGGGCTCCCCTTAGGGATGCTGGTGGGTATCGCAATAGCTCTAAAGGGGCAGCACCCCAATGTTGCACCCGGAGGGAGGCAGATCGGACCTGTGAGCGATAGAACTCGGTTTCGCGGCCCCACCGTGTGTCTGCAGAGCGAAATGCAGCTTTGGTCGCTGCTGCCCGCTGTCGTGCACGGGGAAATCCAGGCAGAGGCGCTCCCGTTTGTTCCTCCGTTGGGACAGCGTGCACGGGTCGGGCTGCTGCACAGCTGGAGCTGCGGTGTGCCAGACCCTCCGTGCATACAGGACCGTACAGGAACGTGCATACAACGCCCATATAGGAAAATGACCTCTTTTAAGATGTATGTATTGTATATTATTTTTTTCCTTTCAGGAGCACAAATGTCCCCGGTCTGCCTTGCAGGGCTACTGCAGGGAATCATCACTCCTGCTTTGGGATGGCTGGCAGATGAGCTGGAGCCACTCTGCGTGCACAGGCAGAGCCCTGGCCAGTGAGAGAACACATCTGTCCTTCATGGCCACATCTCAGATGTGACTCACATCCTTTTGCTCTGCTCTCCCAACCCAAGCTGCTGTGTTCAGGCAAGGTCGCTGCCGGGGATGCTTTCCAGCTCGCTTTCAGCAGGATTTCACCATGCCCATCGCTCCTGGCTCCCCGGAGGCTGAGGGCTTCAGCTGTGAGCAGAGCAGGACGTGCTCTGCGGGGGGCTGGATCAGCTGGAAAATCCCTGTCTGCTCCTGCCAGGGCTGCATGCTGCTCTCCCCAGCAGACAGCGCTGGAGTTGGCTGTGCACAGTGCTCAGCACAGAGGATGTGGGGATGAGCTCGGGTGAACTGGTGGCTTTGTTCCTGTGGTCAGACACAGCAGTGCTTCTACTGCACGGTGTCACCAGGATTGGGAGCCCGTGGGGTTGCTCTTGCCCTTCTAGCAGCACACAGCCTCCCCAGGGAGAGGGGTGGGATGTAGGATCTCATGCTGCGTCTGCATCAGGGCATCTTCTCCATCCTCTGCCCTGAAAATGCCAACAAAATGACTCCTCTTCGTCCCCCAGGGACTGCGTGTAAGTGAGGGCTGTGGCATGAAGCAGAAGAGGGCTGCTGGTGGGGCAGGCAGCCAGCAATCACTGCTTCACTGAAGAAGGGGCAAGGGGAGATGGTTTGCACATGGCTGTTAGCACCCATCCCCTCCTGTGCCCACGGGGGGCTACCAGTCTTGGCGGAGGGGATGCTCCAGGGGCTCTGCACTCAAGGGTGTTCAGCTGTAAGCAGGGGGTCGAATTGCCTGGGGTGGCACTGTGGCTCTTTGTGGCGTTTTCTCCTTGTTTTCCTCCTCGCTGTCTGCTGGCAGCGATAGCAGCAAAAACACCCCGAGTGATGCCTGCGTGGTGCGGCTGCGCAGGGCAGCGATGTGACGCACGGAGCAGAGGAGCAGGAGGTGACAGCTTCCCTGCAGGCACCTGCAAATGTCCTCATCCCAGCACGTCCCTACCTCTGCTCCCAGCAGGGGTGCCAGGTCCCAACCCTGGGGAGGGCTGTGAGGGGTGGTCTGGCTGTGATGGATGGGAGAGGGGTGCAGGAGGCTTGGCCCCCACCTCCCAGCGTTCTCTTGGCTCTAGGTGTGTTCACCCCCCTCACTTCACCTCCTGGCTCCGACTCTCATTTCAATCAAAAGCATCCTGCATTTCCCCCCTCCCTTCCATGTGTATTTTCAGCCTGTGCTAAAACAGCCCTGTTTTTCTGGCTGGTTAGTCGTGCTCACCCAGGTGGAAAGCTCGCTCATGCAGCAGGAGCAAAGCATTTAACAGAGCTCCGTGCGTTCCTTCCTGCCCTTCTCTTGCAGCTGCAAGGGAAAACCAGAAGCTCTCGACCTCCGCTGCTCTGAAGCTCTCATTTCCCAGCGGGGCACGAAACCCTCTGCTCAGAGCACAGAACCACGTGTCCTCATGCTGCAGAAGTTGGGGACAGCCTGTCCCAGCCTGGTGGCACCCACTGCCTGCAGGGACAGCCTGTGCCACCGAGAACACAAAGCGCTTTGCGCAGAGTGGCTGCAAAACATCCCCCCCCCCCCCCAACCCCCATTCCCCCTGCACACACACACACACACATCAAATGAATCCTGAGGTTTGTGGAACTGGAGTCAACGTGCCTCCTTCTTCTCTTAATTGCTGTAATTTGTCCAGCTCTCATACAGCCAGGCTCTGCTCCGGGCTCTCTCTAGGTGGATGCATTTTGGTTGCTGTGTGGATGGAATGATGCAGCAGATGTGCTGTGCCCTCTGTGTGCATCCTGCACGTGGGTTGTTCTGCTCCTGGCATCGTTCCCGCGCCCCCAGTGGGGGGCTCCTCATTGGGAACAGGACTATGTGGGATCAGAGTCTGGAAACCACAGCCTGGGAAATGAGTGTAGAGAAGAGAAGGGGGAGGTGTTGATGCTAGCTGTTCTGGCGGTGAGCAGAGGGCTGTGCTGGTGCTAATTAATGGGAGGTTGGGGGTGGTGGGGGTAATGAGAGAGCACAGTGGGCTGGGGCTGCTGCCTCCACCCTGCCCTGGGTGCCATGGGGAGGCGCTCGTGGGCTGGTAGGCGCTCGGATGAGGCTGTGCCTGGCTCCTGGGATGAGGCAGGGCTGAGGTGTCCCCCTGCCACGAGCGCTGCCCCGTCCCAATTGGATCCCACGAGGTGTCCCATGGCCAGGCTCTGCCTGCAGCCACCCAAAGCTCCGTGCTCGGAGCCCCTCGGTGACAACACTGCAGCGTCCCCAGGCCCCAGCGATGCATGCGCTGTGTCCCCACCGTCCCCATACCCACCAGGGTGGCGTTGTTTTGCTCCGCGAAGGCGGATGGGAGCCGCCGCCATCCGAGCACTGAACATTTTTAATCTCCTGCTCCCGCTCCATGCAATTAACTTGATTCCCTCCCCTCGTTTCCTGCAGAGGTTTAATTAAAATGCATTGTTCGCCTCGCCAATTATTTGCTCTGTCCCCCGGATAACCTCTGTGCAGTTGCTGGCTTGGTGGGTCTTTTTTTTTTCTTCTTATTGCTGGCAAGCTTGCTCCCTGCCCCACGGCTCCTGCAGCATTTACCTGCCCATCCCTGGCGCTGGGGGGGTGAGCAAGGCGTGCCCTGAGCAGCTGAAACAACAAGCCCTTGTTGACTTTGCTTTGAGTTCCCTGCGCTCGGCAGCTGCTGCTCCAGCAGGTGATAATTGAAACAGGGAGCGACCTGCATGGCAGCGGGGCTGGGGGTTGTGCTGGGATGTCAGCTCCTGGTGGCGGAGTGGAGAATCGGTGGGGCTGTGCGTGGGGATGTGAGGCTGTGGGGATACGCGGATCCGAGGCTACGGGGACACGGAGCCATGGGGCTGCAGGGACGTGGGGTTGTAGGGACATGGGGACACGAGGCTATGGGGTTACGTGGATGGGGAGGATGCGGGGATGTGGGGACATGAAGCTGTCAGGATATGGGTAAAAGGAGCCATGGGGATACAGGGCCACGGGGACACAGAACCGTGGCGATACGGGGACGCTGACTGGAGCAGCACCCATTGGCTCTGCACCAAAGACCAGGATTCACGTGGCTGCAGCCCTTGGGGTGCTGCAAGGTCATTCATCAAAGATGCTTTCCTTGAGCCCTGCATTTCAGGGAAGGGGTGCTCAGCTTCCTAAAAATAGTTGAACTGAAATGCCACGCCGCTTGAAGCAGGGCCAAGGCAGCTGCTCGTGGGTTGGCAGTGTCCCCACGGCGCGGTGTGCAGGTGGCTCCATGGGGACCGTGGCACTGAGCAGTCCCCATAGCTGGATGCAGTCAGGGAGGGGTGAGCCTGGTGGTAGGAGGGCTTGGAGAGGTGCCTGTGCTTAAGGGAGGGAGGGAAATTGGAGGTAGAGCAGGAAATTGGGTGTCTGTCTCTCTGTCTGCGTTCAAAAGAGGTTCTCTAGGTGCAAAGCTGGATGAAAGCTTAGGGGTCACAAAGTGGGATGCCCAACCTGCATCCATGCAGTGAGGCACCTCCTGGCTCTACA